ATCTGCTCACCATGCGGAGGAGGGGGAGGAGGAGGAGGAGGAGGAGGAGGAGGAGGCCATCCGTCCGCAGGGACGACAGCTGCAACGCCAGCGATCGCCGCATGTATCGGTGGAAGGGGAAGGAGACGCGGGGGCGGGTGCCACCTCAGAGGAGAGTGGACAGCTGGCAGGCCCCTTCCCTCCTCATCATCACGTCCAGCGTTTGGGGGGCAATGAAGGAGGGGAGGTGGGCGTAAGACGCGAGAAGGAAGGTCCATTTTTCGGCGAGGGAGACGAAGGCGAGGAGGAGGTAGGGGAGGAGGGAGAGGAGGAGGAGGAGGAGGGGGACGAGGAGGAGAAAACCTGTCAATTTTGCGGATTGCACAACCCCGGCTTTACAGAGGAGGCGCTGGACCGGCACTACTTCACGAGCTGCCCTTTGTTGATGCGGTGCCGGGAGTGTGGGCAGGTGATCGAGATCTTCGGGCTGCCAGAGCACCTGTTGGAGGAGTGTGAGGAGGCGCGAGGGGAGTATGAAGCATGCCCGGCGAGTGGGCTGGCGGTCCGGAAGGACCAGCGGGAAGCCTGGAGGATGGGACCGGGGGCCTACTTTGCTGAGGAGGGGGGAAAGGGAGCGGGGACAAAGGTGGTATGCCCTTTATGTTTTTATGCGATCGAGCCGGCATCAGAGGAGGGGGTGCGGGCGCATTACATCACACGGTGTCCTCGGAACGCTCGGAGGGAGGAGATGGAGAGGTAGAAGGTGGGTGGGAAAGAGAAGGGAGGTGTAAGGGATTGTACAGCTGCGTTGGGACCACGGGCCCTGCAAGATTTGCGCGCTTCAAAGTAGACGACTGGCGACGTAAGAAAGAGCCCAGCCCTTAATTGTGGACCGAGAAAGCAAAGACACCACTCGTTCAAGTCGCCCCCCTACACGTCGGCCACAGCTTTTTCCTTGGAAATGCATAGCTTCGCGCCTTCCCGGGACGTTGCCCCCCACATACAGAAAGCAGAAATGTCCTCGCACTGATTGACCTCC